GTTTCATCATTGATTTGGATGTGGATCCTACTCTCATCACTATCTTCATTTCATTGCCTATCTTGTAGGCTTTTCTTCTTTTGTCTGTTTTTTCTTGGCAGCTACTCAGAGCCATAGATGTATTACATATGCACTATAGATTTTCAGCACTTGTTTGGTTTTATTCCCATTTTTTTAAAAAACTATTTTGTAAATTAATTTTAAAATTTGTTTTACAAAACAAAAAAAAAGAAAAAATGATTTACTATGTTAATTTAAAAATAATTTTAGAGTTGAAAAATTAACTAATGGTAGTCACCCGTGATTAAATAGTAGTGATATAAGATAGTGATTGATGATGGGTGAATGTAGTTTGTAATAGTCATATGTAGTGTGGTTTAAAAATAAAAAAAGCTCTAAGATAATTTTGTTTTTATTTTTAAAAATAAAAATGAGAATAATATTAAAATAATTTTAATAAAAACACTTACCTAAATAAGTTTGTTTTAATTTTTTTAACTTTTAAAAACAAAAAAACAGTTATTAATAACAAAAATCAAACAAGTGCTTAGTGTTTTATGGGAGAAAATGGTTTCACTACAATTACAGAAGGCAGAAAATGAAAACAATCAAAACATTTCTAAGTTTAGTAATTTAATCATTTGTGAATGTTACTCATTTTTTTTTTGGTAAAATTTGCGAAATTATTCTATCAAAGTCACAGGAAATAATGACACCTCCGCGAAGAAGTCATTGGCAGTAGCATCGGTTTGATTTGACACCAAAATGCATCAAACTAACTGAACAATATCAAAATTACGAACAGAATAAGATAATCAAATTGAATAAGGATCAAATTAAAATTTAATAATTTAATTCGATTAGTTAATTTTGCTTTGGACTTCATGTTGGATTGTTTGAACTTGGAATAATTTTGTTATTTTTTATACTAAAACAGACAAGGTTTATCTATAAAATTGAACTTATAAAGTGATAGTAGTTCATTTTAATAAGGGGTTAGGGTTTCAATTTATAAGATTATATATTTACTTTCATTTAAGTATAAAATTAAAAATAATAAAATAAAATAAAATAATTAATAAACTAGATATAATTTATAAGTTAATAAATATATATATATATATATATATATATTATAATTTAGTTGATTTAGTCTATTCAATCTTAAATATTACTAACATAATTAAATTGATCAACTGAAATATTTTTTTAAAAAAATTGAATAAAACTAAAAAATTAAATAAACTGAATCAAATAATAAAAATTAAATTCAATTTTTTATTTCAGTTCAGCTTTGCTCTTCCATAAATAGTGGTGTGTCATAACCAGAGATAGAAATCTGAAAAGAAGGGAGAAGGAGTTTTTTCAGAAAATAAAAAGAAGGGATTTAAAAAAAATTAGAATATATATATATATATATATATATGGGTCTTTATAGTTGCACTCAATATTTGAATTAGGTCTTTACACTTTATTTTATTTTAATTCAATCTTTATAATTTAATCAATTAAAATTTTTAAACCCTTAAAGATTAAAATCCTTAAATTTTTCCTTTAAAAAAACAAAAATAAGAACTTTTATATTGTTATTAAATGATTATATAATTTTTGAATTAATGACATAATTTTTTTGACTTAAAATTTATATAATTAGGCTTTCTTCTAAATATTTTTTATATATAAATTTTGAATTAAACAATATATCAAATCAAATTTTCTTTTTTTGATGTTCGCTAAAAGTATTAAATTAAAATAGAAAAATTAATCTTTTAATCTTTCAATTTTTAATTCACCTGTAACTCAGTCTCTTAATTATAACTCGTTGTGACTCAATTCCTCAATTTTTGATTCACTTATAATTCAGTCCTTTTTTTAATTTTTTTAAAAAAATTTCTTATTAAATAAGAGGAATAAAAAAAATGCTCATATATTATTCTGAAATACCCTCCTCTTGCTCATTGATGTGAGATATAATCTAACATAAAAAAAATTAACAAAAATTCTAGGACTAATTTAAAAGTGATTCAAAAATTGAGGGACTGAGTTACAGCAAATTATAGTTGAGGGATTGAATTATAAGTGAATTAAAAGTTGGAGGACTAAAAAATTAATTTTTTCAATTAAAATTTATGTAAACTCTAAGAGTATCTTTTGTGTGAAATTTAATAATTTATTATTAAGTCTAACTTTAAAGGATTAACATATATAATAGATCAAAATATAAAAGTTTGATTAAAACAAACTAATCTATAAGGTCCTAGCTTAAAATTGAGCAAAATTATTAGAACCTGTAGATTAATTTTCTCTAAAAATTATTCAAAAACATCTTGATACAAACATGTTAGATTATAAATTATGCTGAACAATATCTAGTTTATTCAGAATGATGCTGAACAATATCTTTCAGAATGGTTTCAAAAACTTTGAGGTCTTTTTGTATAATTAATTTTTAAAATTGGTTCTTCAGCATCATTCTGTCATAAACTTTTTTGTTACATTTGGGAGGCTGGAGTCTAACGGAAGTGGACATCAATTTGATTTTTTAAATGATAAAAATATAAATATAAAGTTTGATAAAAAAATATATGATAACTTTTTTTTTAAAAAAAACCAACTCAACAAACCTCTGTTGGTTAATAAAAATTTTAAATAACATAAAATTTAATATAATAAATAATAAAAGTATAAAATATAAAATTTGACAAATGGGACAAAACTTATATGAAATAGTTGAATATATATTAATGTTAAAAATCAATATGATTAAGTATTCAATTTACAATGCTAAAAACTTTATCCCTAATTATTATTGTTTAAATGATTATTATATGTTTAATGATTTAACAATATTTTTTCAAGAAAAGAATTGTAGATTAAAGGGATAGTATGATTAAATATCATCACACTTCTCAAATCCTTCTTCAAATTAATTTGGCCAAATCCATTTCCAACAATATTTTAAATGCACTTTCACAATGTATTTTTACCTGATAAATTTTGTTCAAATAACTTTTAATATTGGGAAAGTGTTCAAACGGATTTTGCAAAAGTTAAAAGCAGGTTAACCAAATATTTTTTTCAATTTTTTTTATAAGTTATTTTTATCAATCTCATTAATATTAATATAAAAAAAGTATAAAGAATAAAAACGTGTAGAATTTCAAATATATTCACATATAATAAATTTAAAAAGTAATGTCATTTTACTTTTTCTTCTACATGAAGGGTGAATCTAAAAAAATATCTTTTAAATATTATTTAAAAAATCATACCATAATTTATATAGGATTAAATAAATTTTTTAAAATGGAACGGGAGAGTACACTTTTAGTGTTTTGTTGGGAAAAATGGTTCCTTTACATATGCCATTTGATATCGCAAGGGGATAAAATGAAAGCATTTCTAATATTAGTAAGTTTTAATCATTTGAGAAATTATTCTATCAAAGTCAATTTACTTGGCTCAATTTCTGAATAATGGTGACATTTAGCTCCATGTCTTTTAATCATTTAATTATCCCCTGATTTCCTCGATTGTTCTTTTCTTTTCTTTTACAGGATGCAAGCAAGAAATATTAGATAAAACTAGGTTTGAGTTGTGCCTAGTAATATTTTCACCACTTTATTTTAGGATAAATAATATAAATTTTATATAAAATTAAAGAACTAAAAATATATAAAAAATAATTATTTGATCATTGCAATTTTGGTTCTATTATAATTTAGTACTTATCTTTTAACTTGTTATAATTCAATATTTAAAATTTTAACTTAATTATAATTCAGTCCTTAAATTTTAACTCTTATAATTTAATCCTTATAGTTTCAACCACTTAAATATTGGTTTCTATATTTTAAAAATAAAATTATAAAGATTAAAATTATGTTAGAATTTATTATTAATATTTTAGATTACTAAATCCTTTTAATCTTTATAAATATTAAAATATTTTTATAATTTTATTTTTTAAAATAAAGAGATTAATATTTAAATGGTTAAAATTGTAGGAACTGGATTGCAAAAGGCAAAGTTCGAGATGAGTTATAATCAAGTTAAAATTATAAGGATTGGATTATAATGAATTAAAGTTTAGAGATTGAATTATAAATAAGTTAAAAATATAAGGGACTAAATGATTAATTTTTTTAAAAAATATATTATAACTATTTTATATTCAAAAGCAGACATAGAGTTGTGGGGAAAAATGAAGTCGTGGGGAGAAAAAGTTTAGGACAAGAATATATAAAAAGAGAAAAGAGAATTACACATAAATCTTAAATAAGAAAATTAATCCAAAGTTCACTACTTGTTAATATACAAGTATTGAAATTTGAAATATAAATAAATGAAACAAAAGAGTTAATGATAAAAGTGTATATATGGTCCTTTACTTTTATATCATATTTTATTTTGATTCTTAATTTCATGCAATTTATTTTTAATCCTTTTATTTTAATACTATTAATTTCATTAACAAAAATGGTTAACATTGAATTTTTAAACATTGACATGTTAATTTTAATTTTTTTAGAATAATAGTCATTGATACAAAAAACATTATTTGAGACTAATGGTGTTGAGATTAGATAAATGAAAAAAAAATTTATAAAATTAAAATATTAAACAGAAATTTTATACTCCCTTTATTTTAAACTATAAAATATTTTTGAAAAAAATTTCATATACCACTAAATCTTATTAAATAAATTTAACAACTTTGTTTTTTAAAATAAAATATAAAATTTTAAAGAATAATTTTCATTTAATTTATTAAAAAAGGGACATTAATTAAATAGAATGGAAGAAATGGTAACATTGAAATAAGTTATTTAATTAATCTTCTAAAACTGTCTTTTATTTTGAAATACCTAAATTCCTTTAATTTTTTTTTTATATAATTTGGGATGAAAGAAGCATGACATTAGAGAATGAGATGTGCACTTTTGCATGATTAATTTATTGATGAGGACATTTTTGTGATCTCTCCGTGGAAAAGCCAGAGCAAGTGAAACCAGAGGCAGAGGTTCACATTTCACTGCAAGAAAACAGAGGAGGAGGAAGGATAACGTAACGTAAGAGAAGTGGAATTAGTTGGCCTCGTTTCCCGCGAGGGAAGCTCGGAGTCGGATCAATCAAATAACGCGCCTCTTTCCTCTTTCCTCTTTCCTCAACTCACACTCAGAACCACCACCCCCAAGTCTCTCTCTCTCTCTCTCTCTCTCTCTCTCTCTCTCTCTCGCGGATAGTTTGTGAAAGCGAAAAATGGAGGCGGCGATGGGATTGATGCGGAGAATTCCTCCAAAGCACACCGATACTGCCCTGTCTGCGCTTCTCAGCCTTCTTCCTCATCACTCCTCCGATCTCCTCTCCCAAGTTGATCAGCCACTCCAGGTATCTCCCTTCATCCTTGTAACTAGATGCATTGCTCTCTAATTCTTTGGTACTCTTAGATGTGAAACATTTCTGAGTGTTTTCAGTGTTTTTTATGTCTTTTTTGTTGCGTTGTTTTGGTTTAAGGGTTTAGCCAATTTTGATCCTTTTGTTTTGGAAAATGGGGATTATCATTCGAGGGTGCTTAATTCAGGATTTTTTTTTTGGTTGTTTAATTCAGAATACTTTTATCAACGGTTTACTCGTCATAATATGATTGATGCAATTACGCTTTATCTTCTTCTTGCTTTTTTTTTTTTAGGAAAAATAAGAAATTGGAGAACTGTTTTTCATTTAATAAATTTTGGATGACTACAGGTTTTGTGTGACGCAGACTGTGGGAAAGACTTCATTTTGTGTGAATATAACCGAGATGCTGATTCGTACAGGTAAATTATTTTTTTAGTTTTTACATTCCTCATGGTTATTGAATTGAAGTAATAATATTGCTTAAAGAAATACTGTTGATTGTTCCAGATCATGGCTTTTAACTTCTTTTGGATCTTTGGATTTTAGTCGACATGCACATTTCAAGTGTTTGTTTCTGTCAATTTAAGTCAATTGATTTTGTGAAGGAAACTACCATTGAATAGCATATGCATGATGTACATAAGTTAACACAGTTTGGATTTTTGAAGTATACATCTGACTAAACCACAAATTATGACTGCTCTAGCATTAGAGTTGCATGTTACATAATTCAAACAGGAGAAAAAGGAAAGAAAAGGGCAAAAAAAAAAAAGAGTCATGTCTATTCATATGTGAGCTGGATATGTAAAATCCACTGACTTATGTGACCTAACATCAGTGGATTCTGAATTAGCACTTGTCACTGTTTTGTTTATGATCCATGCTCTGATGGTGGTCTGCTTATCTTTGCCGTGGACTTAAACATTTCACTTGTGTTACTAATAACAGCCGTCACTTTTTCAAAATATGGTTTATAATTTGTTTTTGGCTGTTGCCATATTGTTTCTCTTTCTAAAATCTGTCTCTGGGGAATAATATCATCCAGTCACCCATTTGAAGGGCGACATCTTCTGCTTTCTGAGTGGATAAATATTAATATTTAATCTCTTTGTAGACTCTGCTTCTCTTTCCTTTTAGTGAATAATGTTTTCATGTATCTCGTTCTTATCTTAAAAAGAACTATCCTCAAATAGATTGATAGCATTATCATGTAATTTTCATCGACTGGTATTCAATAGTATCATAAAATTATTCTGTAAGCTGCTCGGCAAGACTGCAACTATAACTTCTAATATGCTGAATATTGTACTTTAGCTGCTGCTGGAATGGAAAGCTGATTTGATATTAGAAGTTTAAAACCTATAGTCTAGTATTTGTTCAGCCGTAAGTATCTGCCTATTTGGCATTCTAATGTTGAGCTAGATAGATCATTATCTCTTTCAACCCACAAGCAAACGCTCAGTCTCAGCCCCTTATAATAAACTCAAATTTACAGACCTTTTACCTTACCATTGCATGCCAGATCTTCCATGTCAATAATTTTAATCCATCATTATTGGGTGCTGTTTCTTTAAAATTTCTGATATCTTGTACAAGATATTTTTGTCTTTTACTGAAATTTCCATGAAATCATTGGCTAAGTTTGTTGCCTGAGCTTCCAAATGCTGTAACTAAATATTTCTTTCAAGTCTGTAAACTCAAAAATTTCACCAATGAAATCTTTATTCTTAAGCTTTGACTCCACATATTTTTTCACTGCTCTGTGTTTTGATCCAAGAATCCATGCTTAAGTTTTTTCCTCTACTATAATTTTCTTGGAGAATTTGGAAACATAAATTGCAAAAGTACTTGGTCTTGAAAGTTGAAATGGAGACCGGGACTTAGTTTATTAGCTCTAAATTCTAATGCTACAGAGTTCTTATAGAACAAATTTATAATTTACTCTCTGATGAATGTGTCCTATTTTCTTTTTTCTTTTTATTTTTATGAAGATGATGTTAACTTTACTGTTGTACCGTATCTGTGTGCAGATCACCTTGGTCAAATAAATACTATCCTCCATTGGAAGATGGGTCCCTCCCTTCATCAGAATTGAGAAATCTTGAAATTGAAGCAAACGAGATATTTGCTATATATTGTGACCAGTGAGGTCCTTTACTTACCACATCTTCTGAGTTTCTATGCTTTGTTAGATGCTTGTATTGTGAAGAAACTTAGTTATCTGTCTAGTTATGAGTTATTAATATCCCTATTTTTTGTTGAATGCCTGATGTAACACAAACTAACACACGCTTGTAGGAGATAGAAATGAATTTAGAAACAGAGAGGGAGAGGGGAGAGGGGAGAGGAAGAGAAGACAAACAGAAATGGAGGGAGAAAGGAAGACAGAATCAAGGAGGGGGAGCTATCAGAATATCGAGAGTAATAAAATGTATTCATATGATCAAGTCTGCCCGTTTCCATTTACATAAGGGGTATATATAACCTACTTGCAAAGAAGGAAACCTACAACTTGTTTTGCTATTTTCTAATATAATATAATTAAAACACTAAAGGCAATATAAACATAATTAGAACATGAGCAAATTCATATCTTTTTGGAGTAAATTTTCCTATCAATGCCACTTGATAGTGGGTGTGGGTTGATCATATTGTTTTTTTCTTGGTATCTATGTGTATATAGCTGTTTATGTATTATTATAGTTTGAAAGAATATGCGCCATTAATGGATAATGGCTTAGATATTATGAAGGTGGCACTTCATCAGTTTATATGTGGCAAGATGACAATGAAGGTTTTGCAGCCTGCTTTCTAATTAAGAAAGGTGAGCCTTTTCTGTCCAGAGTTAATTAACTGGACGCTTCTCATTGTTAGCTGATTTGCTGTTATTATTGTGATTAAAGATGGCTCAAAGACCGGGCAGGGTCGACGGGGCTATTTAGAGGAAGGAGCATGGGATGCTATACATGTTATAGAGGTAAACTCTCTTTGGATGGGTGGCTAGCCTTGATACAATTGCAAAGTTTAACCACTTTCAACTGATGGGAATGCATCTCTGCTTGGCTTTTGAATATTTGAACTTCTTTAGCAAGATGTTTTTCTTGGAATATCATGGAGCAAGGTTTTGATTCTAAGACCTTTTGCTAACTGCTCAATATGGTTTATTTGATGGCTTTCCCAATATTCTTTACAGTCATCTTAGATATGCCAAAACACTTCTTTTTCTTTATTTAATGTTTATATAGGTGGGACCTGAGGAAGAAGGAACAACAAATTATCGTTTAACCAGTACAGTGATGCTGACTCTGACTACTAATAATGAGTCATCTGGAACTTTTAGTTTGTCTGGATCACTTAGAAGACAGGTACTCTTTAGTAGGATTTACTCGTGGCGGCAATTTAGATCTTTTTGTTAACAATTACATCCTGAGTTCCATTTTTCTTCCTCTTTCTGAGCCACGTAAATGACAAAATCACCTTTTTATTGTTTAATAGTGTATTTGCTGAATGTAGATTGCATGCATCAGATTCAGCGTACAATACATATTAGCATGGTCATCCATGGAACGAGTGCTTAACTGCTGCTTTTAGCTGTAATGGATTTAGTTGGCTTTAGGAAGTATTGGCTCCCAATTTTGCTTAGTCAAGGTCAAGGAAAGGTCTAATAAATCTGGACAACTTTATTTTCATATGCTTTTCTTGGATTGACTTTACATCTCCTTATGACGCCCAAGTTCACTGTGTTTTAAATATCAATCAGCCCTTAGGAAAGAGCTGATTAATAGTTTTTGTGGAGAAGGAGCTTGTATTAGTTTCATTCATTGTGCTTTAGTAATGCCCTGAGTCAGCATAGTGAGCGCAGTAAGCTTATTATGTTTAAATCTTACTCTTGTAGGGGGGAAAATTTGACTGCTAAATGATAATTGTAATGAGATGTCAACATATAGATAGAAAAGGTAACAATTCCAAAAACTGCAGATAACTTGGATAGACGTGTCCTCTGGCTTTGGCTGAAACGAAGATCCACTCTTAAGGCTGCTTCCCCCACTTCAGTTTGATAAATTTAGGATTCTACTCCGTAGGTCATAACTTTCCCTAAATACCATCTCTTGACACCAGAGCCAACCCAATTTTATTTGATCAATGTTGTTCATTAAAGATGATTAGTGAAGCAGGGAGTGAAAAGGAGTAAAAGAAAGGAATAAAGCTGACTATAGGTGAATAAATAATGTTTATGTCTTCTCACCAACACATTGTTCACTAATCGTAATAAGAGAAATTTGTACCTCAACTTTTTTAATGAACAGTTAAGAAAAAAAACTCTGCATGACATTATTTTTTGGTATTGTTGATTTCTTTTCATAATGTTATCCTCTGTAGCAACTTTAGCTTGTATAGCCTCTACGATGTCTTGACATAATCCACATAAAATTGCCATCCTTGTCCATGTCTGAAGAATACCCATCAATTGACTCAAAAATTTAATCTTTGAGGGTGGGACGGCTAACAGCTTCTTGATGAAGATTGACAGGATTTTTTTTAACAAATTCTATATAAAATTTAAATGCTCATGCATCAATCCTTGACAGACTTTGTCAATATCATTTTAGTAGTTCAGTCACTATGAATATTTTCTTGAACTTCGTTCCGTCTATTGGGAAATAAAAGTTCATATTCATGCGTACTTGTGGAGCCATAATTCTAGTTTTGGTTGAACATTCTCTAGGCTCAGTATGGATGGAGGGAAAAATGGAAAGAAAATTGGGAGGAGAGAAAGCTAAGAGGAGAAATTTTCAACAGTAGTAATTTTTTTTTTTTTTTTAATGATTTTTAGGAGTTTTCCTTCCTCCCAATTTTTTGCCCCATCCAAATGAAAGGTAAATGATAAAAATAATTCAAAGATCAAGCTCATACAGATCTGGGCTTGACCCAATGCACAGGAGACTATACAGATCTGTAATTGCATTTCAAGTTACCCAAATTACTAAGTTACTGATTTTAATTTTGAAATAATTACATTTAGATAGTTACATAAAATAAATAATCGATAAATCTTTCCATACCCCATTAGTCAAATATTGAATTGCTAGTGCTTAATGTGAAAAGCAAATTTTTTAGTGGCTGACCTGTCCATGAAGTAGCATGAAATTAGTCTAAGCCTGAGGTGGAATGTACATGTATTGATATGGCGATCTGCATACTAATGCCATCAATATTTTGTATATATGATATACTTTTTATATATTGGCATGTAAGTTTTCATCCTAAAATCAGAGTTCTCTCACATTATAGATGAGTATGAGACTGTCAGTTGCTGAGGGACATATTTGTAACATGGGAAGAATGATTGAAGAAATGGAGAGTAAGCTAAGGAACTCACTAGACCAGGTATTCTTGTTATTATATGGTCTCATCTGCACATACAGTGTATCAACTATCAATTTGTTTTATTTTTTTCTTTCCCTTGCTTTGAGGGTGGAACTGCAGATTGGTTTGTCTACGTAGTAGTTTTAGGCCTATGGCTCTAATTAGAAAACTGTATGATGGGATATATGATTAATTAGATTTAGGATTTTTGTTTTATCAAAACAACATCTTAGATTTGGATTAAGATTTGATTTGAATAAATATGATTTTTAAATTACTTTGTTATCTTTTCAATTATTCTAGAATATTTGCATTTAATTATTAAGACTTATCATTTTTAATGCTTTGATTGGTTAGTTAAGGCCTATAAATAATATTTTAATGCCATTTGATGAATTGAATAAGATTGAATATTGAGTTTCCTTCTCCCAGAGTTTCTTTCTTCTCACTTGAACCCTTTCTATTTGCTCTCTTTCTCTTCTCCCTTTCCCTCCCCATTCTACATCACTGTATTTTGTTGTTTTTAATTTTATTATCAGTTCATTAATTAATGCATATTTACAGGTATACTTCGGCAAGACTAGAGAAATGGTCTGCACTCTGCGACCTCCATCTGAAGTGGCACAAATGAGAATGCCTGAGAGCTGATTGGACTTTACACCGTGTTGCTGATAGACTTATACATTTGTCTGTCCTTTGGTATGCTTAACTAGCTTGCTGATTATGTGTTGCATTTGGCATTGATAGTCTCACATGGATAGAAACAGGGAATTATTGGAGAGGAATTGATTGTAAAGTACCGTGTTTCGTAGACAAGATTATATTGTTCCTTGTATTGATACACTAAGTGGAACTCTCAAATTCATCAGATGACATGAAATTGTTGAAGCTCTTCTATTATTGTCTCTTAATTTGTGAACTGAATGCAGTTCTTTTAAACATTGAAATATTTCAGAGAAATTAGTTGCCTGAGTAAATTAGCACGCTCATTTATTTCAGATACACTTCATAATTGTTATTTCAGATACACTTTAAAAATCATAATTGTTATTAAAGTTATTAATATATGAATCATAATTCTTTGAGGTGAAAACTCGGTAATAAATGAGGTGAAATTGTTCTTTGAGGTGAAATTATGAACAACTGTGATATCAATACTTAAATTGAAATTGTTGATCACTAAGATGAAATTTGTTAAAATAAGAAATGTACTTGTTATTGCATAACTAAAATTAACAATTTTATCTTCATTTTTAATAACTCTAATTAGATTTTAACAACTACATTTTCTATTATTTTGTTGAGGGTCTAAATTAAAATTGTGAGAAAAATTATGACAATACATTCTTAAGAACTTTTAAAGTAATTTTCTCATTTCCTGATACTCTTTTCTCATTTTGTTTATTTCGATAAAATTTATTTGTCATTCTCTCGTGTTAATTTGAACTTTAATTAGTCAATAGACTTTTATCTTGATAGATTCAATTTGAATTTTTATTTTAAATTTTAATTAGGCCCATTAAGTTATTGGGGATCTTTAAAATTTGAAAATACAAGTGAGAGCTACTTTTACCGTTTAAAAGCAAGTTTGGCAAATGAATTTTTTGACAAAATGTAAACCGACCACACATTAAAAAACTCAGGAGTTGGAGGCAGGCTAATTGGCATTAATAATAATAAAAAAAATGGTGAGTTTATTTGCGATCTCTGGTTTCTTCAGCGAGTATGTGAACTTATCCAAGGTACTCCCTTTGTGGCGTTAAAAAAGAAAAAATTGCAAGTCTCACGAAGAACATACTACCTCTTATCTCTGTCATATCTAGAAAGATTCTGTAATCCTTGATACAAGACTCATGGAAGATTATTTATTGTAATTTTCCAATTTTACCCCATAAATTTTATGACTCATTATATACTAAATATCTCTTTTCTTATTTTTAATAAGGATAAAATTAAAAAAATAATTTTAAGATATATTTAATGAGTTAATTATCATTTCTTAGTTCAAATGAAGTAGTTAGAAGTATTTTACTATAGAGACCCCAAAGAATGCTCAAATTGCACTAACAAATTTTGGTTGCATTTTCTAAAGAAATAAAAAAGCATATTTCATTTATCCCAAAAAAAAAAAAAAAACCGTGCTGGCTATCCATTCCAGCTATCACTTGCAATTATGTCTAACCCATGCAAAGTGTGCCTTTATTCCCTTCACCATTGGCCCTTCTTGTGGTTCTACTTGATTACTGCTATTCTTCATCTTTCTTTTTGTCTTAACCTCTCTTGTAAGTGCTCCATTTCTATTTATTTCCATCTTCAGTCTTAATCTTCTCTTTGTAAGTGCTCCATTTCTATTTATTTCCATCTTCAGAGTCTTAATCTTCTCATCCTCATCCAATTTATGTGCTTTTCTTCCTACTCTTTCCTGCCTTTTCTTCTTGGTATCCTGCAACTTTTGGATCCTGCTTCTTCTTCCTAACAAATTATGCTATTGCCATCATCATTGATGCTCACAGCTTCTCTCCATCCATACCCTCTCACAAGCTTCGAAGAAGTCTTTTACAGTTTATAAGGAAAAGTAAGGTGTTTCTGCATCATCAGTTTTCAACATGCTGAAGAAGATCGAGAGCTCCTCATCTCCAATGGACCTAGGTCCATTTTCAACTCCCTGCTTTTTGTTCATCGCCTAACCTGATCATTTGAGAACTCAGGGTCATTAGTTTCCCCATTTGGATGCTACTCTGGAGGCTTCTTCTTAAGTACCACAGGTGCAGATGGCATGCTATTGGGAGACCTAGTTGGAAATACTGCACAAAGAGAAGCCTCAGTCATCTACTCAAAGCTCTTTCAACTTTCCATGGGTTCGGACTTTATATTGACCCAAGGCTGCCTCTTCCTCAACGTGCTAGGATCCATCTGAGTGATGGATCTATTGTATGGATTGAGATAATCTATGAACGCGTTTTTCATCAGTGTCACTTCTGTAGAATCAATGGGCACAACTTGTCAGAGTTTAGTGTCCTAGAACTGTTAATGAAGCTTTCATGGTTTCAACATTGTTCACGATCACATTGAAAGGCGGTTTGGCTACATGATGCATGGTAGCTTTGAGCCTAGTCCATCTGATCATCGTTGGTTCCACTGGGTCCGCAGCCATCGCACCAGAGGTACCATAAGGATATCCTTTTTGTATTTTAACTCTTCCTATGAAGTTTTTTAGACCAAGACAAAGCACATTGTTCTGCTGGAAAAACCACAACTTGCCTTGGTGTTTTATTACACAAATTCCTCCTCAAACTCTGACAATTCTGGCATTGGGTTAACATTGGTATAAATCTTGATCCACTTGGCCAAAATTATCAATTCTATATACTTACAGAATTGAACATTTCAGCAGTCAAGCTTAATTCAAGCTGAGCTTATTCAAATTGACCTTAAAATATCATACCCTCTTGAAAAAACCTATATAACTAAATTCGACCATAACTTTTTTTCAATATGATTCGGGCTAGCCCGTTGGACTTAACTTGAATTACTGACTCTAACCCGAACATCATAATACCCCTCCAAGCCCAACTAAACCACTAAAGACTCTTGATGTTCGAAACCCCACAGGAACCTACTCTTTCCGCCTTCTTTGGGTCCAAGAGATCTTCTTTATGATGAAACCAACTCAGATGCTCATGATCTTGACCAGCATTTACTTTCTGCTGTCGTCTTAGGAATAATGCCCAAAAAGCGATCCCCTATACTTCCTGAAAGGAGTTGAGCATAATATGGATAACTTTGACAAGGAAGTGGATAACCTTATTCGTGCTAGCATCAAAACCCTGGGGAAGCGCTCTGCTAATGCATCCACTTAACATTCTGTTCCACTGCTTGATTCTATCTCAGCCCTCCCTAAGTTCCAGCGGATACCTAGCCCATCTAAACCACCACTACCAAGCCTGCTTGTTAGTACATGGATCAAGATCTGTGAAAGCCACAATTAGCCTATGGATGGCTTCTACCTCTTCTACACCCCCTCAGCCACCTCTCCCAAAGCTCAATGGCTTATTTATTTGTCTGTTGTGAGCCCTCTCCCTAGCCCTTGTTATCCTCCATCTCCTTCCCTAACTGAACCCACACCTCTTATTACCTCTATCCCTGCACTTATGCCACCTCCGCCAATTCCATCTAACATTTCCCAACCGTACACCTTTGCACTCAACCTCAATCTTCCCCATTACCAATCACTAATGCCCCAAAAATTCCACTTCGAGCTCGAAAAAGATAACTTGGAGTAGTCTAGATGGTTGATTTCCAAAAGAAAAAGCTTAAAATAAGAAAGCTTCCCAAGAAGCCATGAAAGATCATAGGCTGGTAACTGTCATGCTACTTAAAATCATGGCAGCTTAAAGATTGCAGCAACTGGTTTAATGGTTCTGTGCAAATTTTATCTACCTCTCTAAAACTAAATGATGGTGAAATCAGTGGAGATATTTCACATAGAATTCAAGCTGGGTGGTTTAATTGGAGAAAAGCTAAAGGAGTTATTTGCGACCGTAAGGTGTCTAATAAACTTAAAGGAAAGTTTTATCGCACTGCTATCAGACCGGCAATGTTATATAGTAGTGAATGCTGGGCTCTAACGGGACAGCAAGAGCATAAAGTTGGAGTAGCAGAGATGAGAATGTTACGATGGATGTGCGGACATACACGTAAAGATAAAATTCAAAATGAGCACGTACGCGAAAAGGTGAGGGTGGCACCTATTGAGGAAAAAATGGTAGAAAATCGGTTGAGATGGTTTGGGCATATACAAAGAAGATCAAGGGAGGCACCAGTGAGAAGAGTGGAACATATAACTTTGAGTCCGATTAAGAGAGGTAGAGGAAGGCCTAAGAGAACACTTTTGAAAGTTGTTGAACGCGATCTCTTAATTAATAATATTCCTAAAAGCTTGATAAATGATAGAGCACAATGGCGTCTTGCAATCCATGTAGCCGACCCCACCTAATGGAATAAAGGCTTGTTGTTGTTGTTGTTGTCGTCATCTCTAAAACTAAATGACTTTTGAAGCAGCTAGCAACATTCCATCTAGTTATGGTTTTATGAAAAGTTATGATACTGATGCTCTTAATCGTGGGCGGAACAATAGCTGCATGATCTAGATTTTTGGATGTATCCTCTCACTTTATCCACCGTAAGAATCTAATGCCAAATACTAGTAATGAAATATTCCTCACCCTTGTTTATGGATCGCCATCTTCTTTACGCCACATTTCATGGTCTTGGATCACTACTATCTCTTCTACAATTTCTCAACCATGGTTATTAATAGGGGATTTTAACCAAGTCCTCTATTCAGATGATAAACTAAGCCTCACGCCCACTATCAATAGCGCTTCTTATTTTCAAGACTGCCTTCACTCCACACAACTTGCCTTAATTCCCCAAACTAGTCCCCGTTTTACTTGGAGCAATAATCGAAGGGTTCGTGAGAATGTTAGCGAAAAGTTAGACATGGCTATCTATAACCCTCTTTGGCAGCAAATCTTTCCTCTTTTCAATGTCAAACTTTTCATTGCTACATCAGATCATTCCCCCATCCTTTTTTACACTTGTGCACCACCTTATAATAGGGCAAGAATCGAAAGGTTCGAAACTTTTTGGTACAATTTTAAGGAGCGTGAAGAACTCATTTGCACTACATCAGCACCTCATCAAGTTTCTCCTAGCTACAATCTGCAATGCAAACTTAGCAGTACACTCAACGCCCTTAACAATTGGAGCAGTCACTCAACAAGCCACCTCCCCTCAAGAATCAAGAAACTTGAACTTGAAGTCTACAATCTGTCAATGAGCACCAACTTGAATTTTTGTATGACTGTCAATACATTCATTGGAAACAAAGATCTAGGATTAAATGGTGGATGGAGCGAAACGAATACCAAGTTCTTCCATTTCATGATAATTATAAAGAAAGCTAAGACCTTTGTGCACTCCATTAAGACGCATAATGGATCATGGACTAACAATCAAGAGGAGATACAACATCTAGCCAGGAATAATTTCAATTCAATTTTTTCAAGAGAATAAACTCATTTACATCATTATATTGTTCAACAACTGGGTTCTTTGGATATCCCTAAGCTCCCCTTGGTAGAACAAAATGAACTTATGGCCCCTTTGACAACCTTTAAAATTAAGGAAGTTGTTTTTAGTCTTCCGAAGAATAATGCACTAGGTCCAAATGGATTCCATACCTCCTTTTTCCAAAAAAATTAGTCAACAATTCAAAGGGATGAGATTTCAACGGTTCCAACACATTTGGGATTCTGAATTCTTGCTCAGAACACTGAATGAGTCTTCCATCACGCTTATCTCAAAATCCAGTAATGTGCAGACTTTTCAGGATTCGAGGCCTATCAACCTACGCCATACCTCCTAAAAAATCTTTTCCAAGGTCATTTGTAATGGAATGAAGCCTGTGCCAAACAACCTTATCCATCCTCACCAAAATGCCATCTTGAAGAATAGGTAAATCAAAGACAATATTCTTAGAGCGACAGATGTCATGCACCAACTACACCATGCCTATAAGAGGAAAACCAAACTCGGAACACTTAAATTTAATCACTGCCATCGTACAGCTTATGGGTTTCCCACTGTAATTGATAAACCTTATATTCTGATACACATCCACAGAGGAATATCAAATTCTAACCAATGGCTACCTATATGAAACCATCACGCCAAATAGAGGAATCAGGCAAGGTGACCTTTCACCCTATTTGTGTATCTTGACCACTAATATAAGCTCTTGCTTGATTCTTGATAAAAAAAAAAAAAAAAGAAGAAGAAGAAGCAAGGACAGGAAAGGGATTCGAATATGCAATAATGCTACTCCTTTTTCACACCTTTTACATGCAGATGACTCCCTATTCTTTTTTGAAAGCACGAGGTAACATTTCTGCGATCAAAGAAATATTAAATATTTGCACTATGTCATGTGGGAGCATAAATACACAGAAGTACATCTTAATCACTAACCTCCAAACAACTTTAACCTTGAAAGCTGAATGGGCTGAAGAATTAGGAGTTATTCCTTCTAAAAGGTAAGCATCTAGGAACTGGGGTTGATTCAAGTAGAGATAAAGGGGAAATCTTCCAACTCATTAGTGAAGCAATTGAAAATCTCCATGCTACCTCAAGCATCTAGTCTGGCGATCATAAAGTCTGTGCTCTCTACTGCTAACATCTTCCAGCTCTCACGTATACATCTACCTCAATGACCTTGCTCTCAAATTGATGCCAAGTGTGCTAATTTTTTTCTGCTGCTTCACTAATGGAAGGAAACACATGCATCTTACTAATAAGTCCCCTTTGTTCAAACCTATAGAATATGGAGGCCATGGTCTTAAAATTATTCACATGGTCAGTAATCACTGCTTGCGCAAAGAACGTCTCGCAAATTCTTTCTATAAGAGAGGGTTCTCTTTTAGCACCTACCCTTTAGAGGAAGTACATTGATCTTTCAGCCTCAAATCCCATCCGCCGTCCAGACAACTACTCCCGGATAGGGAAAGGAATCATTACTTCTGCCTCCTTAATGACAGATAAAATCTCATGGAGGATTGGATCTGGCTCTGATACTCCTATAACAAATCTACACTAGCTTCCACAGCCTTGGCCCATTCCACAGCCTTCGCACCTCTAATTGGCTGATCCCTAGGTTAACAAACCCCTCCTTTAACCCATTTTTCCTCCAACTTGTGCCTCAAAAATTTCCTCAATTCCAATTTCATCTACAAGACAATCGACCAAACTTACAAAACAGTCATTCCCTCACCCATTACCTCCCACCAAACATAGTCTAACAAGGTATTTAGGAGAAAAAATAATTTTACTGTTCAAAAAATAAATGTGTCATGAGAAGATGGCTCCATTTTCAGAAGTGACGTGTAAATTCTAGTCGCCTCAAAAATTCTCCTAAATCTGATTTAAATAATTGTCTACGCACATCTTTTTTAGTGCCAGATAACTCATTCACGAAGCATTTCAAAGACTCTCACCTGTAGAAGGGGCAAATATATAGCATTCTCTAGTAATATCATATTGGCAACTCGTTTTCACCTAACTACTATTGTTCAACATCCAAGGAGAAAATATGAAATACTTAATTAAAATGTCAGCTCCCTCAAAAACCTAAATCATCCCCAAGGCAGTAAGCAAGCTCTCAATGCTTGAACTCATAATTGAAGCCATGTTTTCAAGCTTTAGCTTCAGGTTCACCACTTTGTTCACCACCAGTAGTGGCTCCTTTGAGATGTTCATTACCAGAAGATTCTTTCCCAGTAGCGTCGTCTTCTGCGTCACTCTCTTCATCTGCAAAAAGGCCAACAAACTCCGGTCAGATGTTGCTGGAAAAAAAAAAAAAAACTACAGCTTCATAATGATTTGGATTGTATAAATTAGAATCTAGCATACAATGTAAGGGGAAAAAAAAGGTGAAAGCATAAATTTCTTTGGAACAATTACCTTCATCATCGCCTGCAGCAAAATCACCCAATCCCTCACCACCTCCCATGCCCATCTTCTGGAAAATTAAGAAAAACACATGTAACAAGCCTAAACGTAAAATATACAGATAAATTGTACTTCAGAATTGTGGATACTTACAGAAAAATCTAACCCACTAAAGTCCATGTTATTATCAGCTCCCACTAAAAAAGCATAATGTACGAGTGAGTTAAACCAGAGAAAAATAAAAGACTTGAATTTAGATAAATTTGAGTACAGTCACTCACAGCTAGTATCTTGCTCCTCATCTTCATCAACCCATTTGTCCCAATCAACTTTCAGAAAAACAGGAGGTTTCCCACCCTGCTTCAATAATCTGTCCCACCATTTGTCCTCAGCCTTCTTTATTAGGTAGCAGATATTTCTGGAACCAACACTAGCTTTGCTCTCCTGAAAGGAGGATTAAAGAAGCAATCATTAACAAAAATTGTGCAAAAGATATATGATTACCAGGATCACTATGAAAATGACAACCTTACCTCTACATTAACGTTGCCATATAGATCTAAGTCAATTTCATAAGGAGCTTTTGCCGCACCAGCAGTTGCAGAGAAGTAAAATTTCCCTTCTGGCTCCAGTTTAAGTTTCACATCCTGGGCATCAGGCAACTCAATAGTCATGTAAACCTTATCAGACCTCTGGGCCCATTTGACATTGGGATGACGGCTGCATATTACAAGTCAAAGGGACTTAGTGATCTTGAAAAGTGAGAATCCTCATTGTCAAATAGAGAAAATGTCTTAGGTAATGGTCACGCCAGGTCATCTGAGTTGAAATGGATTTCTTTCCTTTCATATGTCAACAAGCATTCCAATTTTTCAAGACGAAAAGTATTCCGTTCATCAATTGTTAAAATAAATAATTACTTGATCAAGTTTGGAAATCTTTTTAATGGAAAAAGACGCATGGACATAAAATCACAAAATTTAAATATTCCTTTATCCTCACCACCTCCATGCTAGATCAAAGAAAATACTTTTTCAGACCAACAACGTTATAAGTTAAAACATGAATCAGGAGGTACAAGGCAACACAAATAAGATATAGCATCAATATATAACAAGACTATTTGACTGATGTCATATCAAGCATAGTGCTTACAACACCACAACTATACACTGTTGCATCAGTGCATAATAGTAATCTACAATCTGAAAGTGCGGATTCCAACAATGACAAAGCAAGGCCAAAGTAAAACGTGAACAACGGAAGCTACAGAATCGATCCAAAATAATAACAAGACCATAGTAAAATAAAAGCCTATAGCTATAATCAATATTCGTACGCTTCCATTTCTTCGCAGAAGAAAAAAAACTGTTCGAAGTCGAGACGGACAATCGATTACCTACACTTGCAAGGTCTCTGCCACCACACTAAAAACCCCAAAATTCCATAATCCTAAACCCTAAACCCTGACAAAATCAAAAACACAAAAAAAAAAAAATCAACCTAATGAAACAAGAAATTAAGAAAAGAAAAAAGGAAACGAAACAACACCACGAAGAATATAAAATTCAGCAAATTATATTCAATCTACAAAGGGTCAAAACGCCAAAGTTAATACCAATAAAACTTAGTTATACATATGTCTCCAAATTTCTGCTGTCAACTTTCTCAGATGCTAAACTGCAACAAGAAAATACATTTATAAGAATAAAAATAACCGAACCTCATCTTCGAATTTTCTCTGAACAATCCAAAGCAGCTTACGATCAATATAGACTTTTCCAGAGAAGGCTAGGAGGAACGATGAGAACACGCAACGCAAGGGTTCCTTTAGTATTTATAGTTCCGGTTTTCATCATTAAAAAAAAAAAAAAATCCGCAAGCTGTTACCTTCTGACGATATTTATTAGTAAATTTGTATATTATAATACTAGATAAACTTTATTTTTTTATTCATTTCGTCCTGAATTGATTCCCAAGATTTCTCTGGCTCAATTAAATTAGGGTTAAAGGATAATTTATCGTAAACTTTTTTTGCCAAACATGTTTTTTGGAAGCTCCAAAAACGATACAGTGTCACTTCGCAGCAATGTTTAACCAACGTTAGCCCTTGGTTAAAAATACCCATCTAAATTTAAAGAGCAATTTTGCTTGGAAATTTAAAAAAAAAATTGATATTCTAAACTTTTAGTTAGCATCAATATTTTTAGTTTATCAATGTTTAAATCAAAAGAGAAATATAACTACACATTGTCAATGTTTAAAAATGGTTCTTAGTGTTTTTTATTTTAATTAAGCCTTACTCGAGGTTGTTTAAAAGCAAGCTGCCTTTTCCAAAATATTTTATAGGGTTCCTTTTGAGTAAAATTCAAACTTGCTTTTGTTTTGCTAATGAGAAAATCTAGACATGGGCTCATGAAAAGGTTTGCTTGTGCAAGCTCTAATCATAAGTAAATATAAACATGACCAACAAAAGTTGAGTTAGTAAAAAAAGTTAATCCTTCACAATATGACTAACCAAAGTTTGTTGAATCCCATTTTGGAGAGTTGTCTACATTTAGTATCCCATCGTATCTTGAACACAATTATCTCTAATACAATGGTAATAAAAAGCAATCAAAAAAAAAATATAGACTTGATTAGACTTGCTCCTAGATAACATAGACTAGCCTAGATTTTGACTTGGCAATGTTCAATATAATTCAGCCTATAATTTTATTTTGATTTTGGATTATAATGTGTTATTGTATCTTTTTAATTTGAACGTTAATAATCCAAAAACATTGCAGCAATTAAAAGTTGAGATATCGATTATCCTTTCAGACAAACTTCCAAGAAAAAATTGCTTTTCAATTTTGAGAATAATGATCAACATTAATCAAATGTTATTATAGAATGACATTGCACGATTTTTTAAACTTTTAAGATTACGTTTTATCCATTGAAAGTTGATGGTACTAGTTGCATTGTGCAAAAAACATTTAGAGCAAATTTGCTCTTTAACCCATTAAATTATACACTTCATATTATTTTTGAAAAATTATAAACCTTGCTGCAACTCACTCAATATCATAAAGAAATTATTTGAGTTTAAAGCAATCTAAATCCAAATATCAAACATTCTATTAAAAATAATTTTAACTAATTGAATAAATTTAATCATGATTAAAATAATAAAAAAGTGAATTAAAATAAGCTTCTTGTGTTTGAGATTCTCTTCCACCTTATAAAAAATTGACAAATACACGACTTTTCAAACAGTTGTATAATTTTCAATTAAGCCACATACTTATCATTTTGCTTTTTTAAAATATATAAATAACCCATTTTACAAACATTTTTTACCAAATATCAAACAAAATAAGTAAATTTAAAAAATCTAATTTTAAATAAATGGTTAGAGATTCAAGTTTCAACTCTTATATGTGTAGCAACTCTTAGTAATGTGAAAACATCGACACATTAAATTTAAAAGCAAAATCTCCAAATTCTATACCAAGTCACCCAATCAAACCCACAAATGCCTATCAACAAAATACAAATCAATTAATATTTTAAATTACAAAATTGGTAATGTGGAAACCAAGTATTCTTTCATGAGTTTGCACATTCAAATACATCAAAATCAACTATCCCCACCATGAAGGATTCTATAAACATTAAAAATGAAGTATGATATAGAATATAGAGAGCAAGAGAACAATTGGCAAGCTAGCAAAGCCACCATGACAAGATGAACTGAATTAAAACTAGGAAGCTGTAATCAATATCAAATGTATGCCTATTGTAAAGTCTCCAGGGGATGATGGGTTAGACTTCAGAGTCTTTCCCAATGAGCAACCCTAGTTGCACAAGGGAAGGTTACTCCCATTAGAATTTAGAAGTGAGAAGTTGAACAAGTAATACATGATCAACTTTTTTATGACATAAAACTAGTCCTTCAATGCCTTTATTGTAAAACCCCCCTCGGCTCACTTCACAAGATTGTACAGCATGTATGTCTCGAGAATTTTGTCCCATATTGAAAAAAATGGTTGAAAATAGTTGTACTTCAGCCCTTGTAGTTGATGGTGCATATCATAATAAGCTGTATTGTTCTGGAAAAACATGTGGAAGATATTTCCAGGCAACCAGAGTCCATAGTGATCAACCACTGTCTTAATGACAGCAAAGCAAAAGAACACGATGGCCAATGTTGCAGTCATTCCAAAAACCAAATATGAGATGGCACTGCTGAAAGTGTCGAGAAGAAGACCCTCGAGAGGGTGGTTATATAAAGCACCTATTGTATAAAGAACAACTAGTCTGTGATGCTGGGAGTGGATGTGGCAGTATAATAACTTGTTCTAGTACATGTAGCAGTGCACAAAGTATTGCCACGTGTCTATGACAAACATGGCAATGATGATCTGAAAAGTTTGTACAAGAATTGAAGGTTGCACCGTAACCCAGATGCATTTGCATTTAAAGTCAATTGCAGAATTATAGCAGTAAGCATCTTTTTTAGCCGTTAGAAAACAGAAAATGAGTATATATAATAAATTGAAGATGCCAAAGTCCTAACATGAAACATCTTTATACACTACACATTGACTAACACGTTTCAGCAGGATGTTCTGCCAGCAGTGCATTAATCATCAAGTATTATAGATCTAATCCAACAAGCTGAAAGAACATGTCTGTGAGAGAGCTAAATAAGATTCTATAGAGTGTACCAACCTCAATAAGTCTGACTGATTGAACTTCTTCCTTGCATGTATTAGTATCAAACTATTAATTTGTGTTATTTTACACAGAAAAGCTAAATCCATACTTTGCCCAAAACCAACCATATACATAATGCATCACAACTAGAAAAAGGGATATAAAAGGTGCAGATGAATCAATCATTGACCTTTAACTCCCCAAAAACACGCTAAAGATAAAGCTAATGAATCCAAGTACCCATAGTATAGAAGGAACTAATGCAAAACCTAAAAAACAAAACCAATAATTTAGCATTCAGTAGTAGCTTTTAGGTGGTTCTTGTTGTATTTTTGTAAACCCAAGAAGAGGACCATTTTTTTCCTTAACTGAATTGAATAAAATTAAGTAACCATGGAAAAACTTTACCAACCCAGATATTTTCTTTTCATATATAAACCTTTTAGGAAAATATTATGATTATCATGAGCAAAAACATCATGCATAAATGGGTTTTCTATTAAACCATAGCCCCACTTCCATACTCCTTTAAGTGCCTTTTGCTTCACTTTCCATCCTAAGAAGATCCCCTTTAATATTCAACAACTTCAATATTCAATGCATACAACACTGCTAACCTATAAAAAACACAATAGGTAATGAAATCCATTAATAGTACTTTGCTGTTTGGAGAAAAAAGAATATTAATTGATCAAGACAAGTCACAATACAAATCTATAACTGCATGGGAGAATAATTGTAGCAACTAATTAAAGGGTTTACAATGGTCATTTCACTCATTTGGTTAAGATATAGAATGATAATGAATCAAGGAAAGACTACAATTCTATTTAATAATAAATCCAACATGCAAGTTTTCTTGACTTTTTCCTTCATAAACAAACCTAAGCTGTGCTTGGCGTGTGAGAATCCTAAATGCAGAAACGAAATTAGACATAGAATATGGATTTTAACATGTTTGGTATGGTAGCATCTGGATTCTCTAGAATCTCGATTCCAACAAAAAAGCCAGAATTAAATTCCATCAAAACCACCATGGAATGGGATCAATTCCCATAAAATTCTCTATTTGATGTTTTGGCCCTCATCATCATCACCTTTGTCTTGCTCTAACCCAGTAGATCTGCCTTCTTCCTTATGAGTTGCTGACCTTCTCCAGTTCCATTAAGAGAAGCATCAACCTCCATCGCTCAAATCCTAGGCATCCTATCACTAGCCTCGTCGAGTATGGCTTTGCTGATGGTAATTGGAGGGTAGAGTGGAGTAGTTAGGGCATTCCCACTAAACGTCTCCACAATGGCAGCCAGAGGATTAGAGAGGCAGCTTATTAGATTGCAAGAAAGGGCAATGATCAATGAAGAAGGGTTGAAATCATATAGGCTTGATGATAATGCTCATCCTAAAATTGATGAACTTGAAGAAGTGTAAGAATATGGCACCTATATGATGGCTTTAGATTGCAATTTCTCTAGTTTGTGTTTGTGGAAGGAATGATTTTCTCTTCGTCCATCAGCCTCACCTTGTAAATCACATTAGAACCATCACAATTGGAAGGATGAGCTTTAAAAAAAGAAATTTGAAATGGGCACTTTGGTCTTTTCTTATTTTAAGTAAATGTACTATTAAGATTATATTAGAATTCTATCATTATACCAAACACAATTTTAAATTCTAATTCTATTCTGATTTTGATTTTGATTCCATCAAAAATTCTTCCATTATATCAAATGAGGCCTTAATGCTAGGCATCTACCATTACCAGCATATGCATGAGGTACTTATAAGTGTTCCAAAATGATACATGATACTTCCAAGCAATTATGGAGGGAAAAACTCCAATAGACAAGAAAAGTATATATTCAAGGAATGGCCTACATTGGTAAGTGAACTAACAACATACTATCCTTGTATTCAAAATTATTACAACTATACAAGATATATATGTGGGGTTAACAACTAGTATAAGAACATCTGGTAGTGAGATAAAGGACTTGATAAGGATTGGCTTGCATCAAGGATTATCTTTGAGACTTTAGCTGTTTAACCTAGTTTTAAATGTTTTAACTGAATATATTCAAGACGAAATCCTCAATTGCATGCTTTTCACAAATGATATAATTCTTATTGCAGAGTCAAGAGTAGGGATTAACTCCAAACTTGAGTTATAGA